AATTAGTTGTCATGTGCGCTTTGCACGTCTAGCTATTAAAGACAATAAGCCAACTCTTTGCTTTGACATATTCTTCCCCTCCCCCTCTCCCCTCTTCCTCCTCTCTCCCCTCTCCCCTATCTCTTTTTATTAATAAAAACGTCACTTAATTCTCAATGCCAACAGACTGCATGGATTTGCGAAAAAAGATTTGTTTTGTGCTGAATTATCTGAATGCTGATCCTGTATTGTATTACACGATTTTTGTATCTCGCTCCGTAAAAGACTTTAGATGCTGTCTACGTGTGACGAGTCACAATATTTACGATCGGGTGAATCAAGCACATATTAATTATAGACATCTGCAAGCTATATATAATTTCAACTACGTGTCGAATTACACAGGTCTTTGATAAATGGTATTCGTTATAATATCATGAAACAATTGCAACAATTCTCTCATTTGCATGTTGTGATATTTAACGCAAGGTTCATACAAGCCAAATTAACACACAATTGCTGCATGTCAAGTTGAACTAGTGTTAATTTGGAAATGCGATCGTTCCTAATGTAAATATATTGTTTCATATAAGGGCTGTATAAATCTTTCAGAGTATTACTATGGAGATAGATACTCTGTTTATCAATAGCAGCAGCAACGAAAAGAATTTCAATTACGTAAACTTACAGCTTATTGTATTTGCTATTTTAAACGGTAACAAAGAAATAGATGAAAAAATTTTCTTTCCAAAATTTGTTGAAAAAAAATTTTTTCTTTATCAGCATATATTACAAATAATAATAAGGGGAAAACATTAACTAACATTTGAAAAATTTTGGGTCATACAAAGACGTGAATTTCACCTCTCCAGCCTTGTATAACCGCAAAATTTTTTTGAAGATAAAAAAAAAAGGTAATGTTTAAGTGAATGCTCATTCTCACTTCAGCCCTCGGCACAGCCAAACTAATTCTTAGAAGCAAGTTCTCAAAAATCAAGAGTTTCACATTACCGAAATAGAGAGGCGTTTTCGCAAGTCCAATCCAACCAATTACAATCTATGCATACCTTCCATAAAAACACTCTACCTACGTTCCAAGCAGCACACATACATTTTTCTTTCTCATCTTCATCCTTATTTGTAAAAGATCCATTACACCAGACTCGCATGCACAAACCTGTTTCTTTGTTTCCGAAGCAAAGCAACATCCCCGCATTTATGCAATGTGCGTTCTGGATTAAATTTGGAAATGATGATCGGCACAGGAACTATAAGGTGTATACGTGTGGGGATGGCGAGCGATATTTACGAGAAAGGAGGAGAAAGAAAGGGGGAAGAATATGAATAGTAAAAATTGCAAAGAAGCTATCGAGAGATGTAAAACAGTGTCAAGAAAGATTGAACGATTTAGATAAACGACAACTTTGCGTACTTTATATACAGACCTGATAATAGTTTGCTTACGTTTGATCGTTCTGGCCTTTTGTTGTTATCACATTCTTGTCGTTTAATATTTACCAGGTTACTGTTGTTATATTTGCTATTAATGTTGGGGTTTTATCTAAATGTTTTGCGATCCATCATAAACGTGATTGTAATTACTCAGCCACCTGACTCCGAATACAATATAACAATATATAACATATCGTGATTAATTGAGAATTATATGCTTACTATTGTAAAATTGCAATATTTATATGCACAATTAACATGTTATACAATTTCTTATTAAGTTGTTAGTGGTAATACGCAACATTTTAGTTATGTTGCAATTTTTATGGCTGTTACGTGCCGAGTATGTTAATTTTACAGAAATTTATTTGAATTAAGTTTATTATAATATATATTATTTTTATTTAATAAAGCCGTATACAAGTTTACGGTAAGTGTTTGCTTATTTCTCATATATCACATTCCTTTTCTTTATGCTTATTTCCAAGTTCTTTGTTTGTTTGTTGTGTTTATTCGCCCATCTTTCGGAGCCGTGCATCTCCGCACGATCATCACGCTTCCGTGTTGCATAGCATTACTTAGCTAGGGGAAATAAACCCATATAAACTGTTACAATATATTAATATTAATAATATCATATAAAAAAATCAACAGCATATTAAATCTTACTTTATTATTTGTAATATTTATACATGTATAATAAACTGTATTGATTGTGACTAAATTAAATAGAAAGCGGACAAACTCCGAATATTATATTATAATTAATATACACTACAATATATAACTGGCGCCGTCAAATTGTCCGACAGAACAAAATGTATAAATAACCAGACAGTACACAGCAGGTTTTTGTTTTCCGAACATTACCCACAACTACAATACTAATTTAACGGCATGAAAGAATTCTAATTTATAGTCTTACTATTCACTCAGCAAGATAACTACTCTATTAATAATCTGTTAACGAATGTATGACGTTGCAAAAGTCCAAACTTTTAACTTTTAACCAGAGAATTACACTTTGGAGGTAACTATAAACACAATATTAACATAAATTGACTAGGAGTTTCCAACATCTGTCAGCTGAGTTTTTAAACAAGGTTTATATGCATTCAAAAAACTACATACCAGTACCTTATCTATCATGGTATGATGTAGTTATTACATCTTTAACCTTCTCCTTCAGTATTATGGGTTAGTTGCAAACTGGGAAAAGGCGTCTGAAACGTAGTCGAACTAGTGTACTAGAATAAATGTTTTTTTGATCGCATCTGAGGTAAACATTATTTGTATGCTATTTGTAGTTGAGCCAAAGAATTTTCTTACACCACTGTACTTTATCTTGTACAGACACGTAAGTTGTATCAAGTAACGATTGACAAATCTTTAACGACGTCAAGACGCGAATAAATGCAATAATAAATCCACGGCAATTTGTTCAAGTCCCAGGTACAAGTTTATATAATTAACATGGCGATGTGTTTCTTTATAACCATTTTGTATTTCTTTAAACAGTCTATTTTGATGTTTCAGAAACTTTATTGTTGCGGCGCGTCAAGTAAAAAGCAAGTGAAACCTACTCGACATTACATTCAGAAAAGACAGCAAGGCAAAATACCATTACTATTACCGTCTCATATCATGGACGCTGTTGTCGAATAGTGCATACAAGATTTCAACCAGCAGATGAATGCGTAAATCGTAAGTGTAATTAAGTCGTAACATACTTTTATGTCTCTCTAGTTAGCAAACAGATAGATAGCGGTCATGGACAATGTAACTTGCCTATTAAAATAGTAACATGTTTCTTGGTCAAGCGGGTAACGTCAATGCACGGGACTCTGAGAACGGGTGATAAGCGTCGGTTATTCCTCCAGAATAGAGCATGTGATTTACATGATCGTCAGTAAATGACGCGATTCACGTGTAACGAATACACTTGTATAGAAAAAGTTAGCTACGGGTTTGGTCAAAAGTCGGCTTATTTCATTAATGGAAGGTCATTGCGAGGGGTATTGAAATCGTAAGACGTTTTGCCTGGCAATTTGCATATTTAGTATTTAACGGCTTGAATCCCTAAATCATGGTTTTTAAGCAAAACTTTTTATCGACAACATTCTAATCATCTACTTGACGACGAACAGATTTAGCCCGTCAGAACGTGAGGTTTGTCAAGTTTTTCTTAAGACAGACAGAAAGGATATTGCTTTCGATTGATTATAGAAATCTTCAAAAGCAAATTCTCAATCTCCGTCAAGTCCTTTTGAATACAACAACCATATTGCCCCTATTCGTCATATGAAACAAGACACAAATTTCCGAACAAACAGATTTACAAACAATGGTCACGCGAGTTAATATAAATAAGAGGTAACATGTTTGTCAATTGCTGGTCATTGTTTGATAAGGACTCAGAGCACGAGTACTTTCCTAAAGTGATTATATTCGTGAGACATTATCCGTGTTGCTCCGAATTTATTGTATGTTGATTTACAACAGTTTTTATCAAGACCATGTTTCAGTGATCAAATTATCATAGACGGGACTTTTTTTTACACATCACAAATTGATACTTTTTTTTTTCTGACTGCAGTTAGAACAAAGTTTATTTAGAAGAAATAGAAAAAAGTTTATTATCCAACTTTATATAGTGTTGTACTGTACAAGAAAAAAAAAAGGAAATTTAACTCTCCCGTCTTCTCTCTTTCCCCCTCCCACAGGGAGAAAAACAAAAAGCCAAGGAACAGAGCGAGATAAAGCACTTTATAAATCCTTTGTAAGAACGAAAAAAGGAAATAAACTATACAGAGAAGAAATTTACAGAGAAAAAGTCTTAAAGACGTTTTTCTTTTTTTTTTTCGAATCTAAAATCTACAAAAAAAGAAAAAAGTTCCGTAACATCTGTAGAATAAAATGTGTTCGGTGTTTTTAGAAAAAAGCGTAAAAAAGTAAAAAGCCGTGTTCGTTGTTGTCGTGTCGTTTTCGTTTGTTATTGTTATATAGAAGTTGTTGTTGTTGTTGTTGTTGTCACACTTTAACCGTATATTCTATTGAAATATAAAAGCGTATATATGAAAATATCGTATAGGGGGTTTTCGTTTTAGAAATAAATTCTATATAGAAGAAAAAACCGTAACTTTTTTGTGTTTCGTGTCTTTTAAGTTATATCGAAAAGTAAGAGTCATAAGAATATGGAAGGGATTCAAGGTGTGTTTTTTTTCTTAGAAATTTCTTTCTCTTTGCGAAAAGCTTTGAAGAAAGAAAAAAAAAAGTAATATATATAATAGCTGTACAAATGTACAAAAATGTACAAAATAGAATTCTGATATGTCGCAACAAAGAGGGAAGAAGCTGATAACAAACAGCAAGGAAAATTCAAGGACTGATAGGAAACAAGTAAAGAAAAAGAATAAGGTTCCAAAAGTGGAATATTCTTGACATTTCCATGTGTGTATATCCTTCCAAATGTCTTCAATTTCCTTCCCTCTAGTTCAGACTATCAACGTAGGTGTTGTTGTATTTTTTCTATCATATTTTCTTTTTTTTTTAAAAAAAAATGCCGTTATTTACATTTTCATAACTTGATCCCTATCCAATTCGACCGATTCCATTTCATCACGACATTCATCGCCGTTGGCGTTGCGACCCTCATTGGAGAGTAAACCAAAGTTGTCTTCGGCGAGTGGGTTTGAATGAAGATTGTGTTGTGAATTTGGAAGAACGGCTGACTCTACTTTCGATTCCAAGACTCGAAACGGCTTGTTGATATGCATACTGCTTGTGTTCTTTGAGACACGGTTAGAACCGTGCGTTGCATAAAGGGCATCACGTTCCGATGATACCATGGCTTTTCTTGGATGCTTGAATTCGTTAGAACTGCCAATAGCTTGTTGAGACAAGGACATGCGCTGAGACACGCGTTGATTATGAGACGGCGTTTGAGCAATTCCGTTGGTGGTGGCATCAGCGAACGGATCCGAAATGTTGTGTTCCGGTGTTTTGTTCTCGTTATTACGGAAATTAACCGCTGCTCGCTGATTCTGGTTATGTTGCTGACGTGCATCAATTTTCTTGTTGCCAAGGCATCTCTTCTTTGCTTGAGCTGTCACCATGGACGAACCTATGGAGGTGCTTGCCGAAGCAGAGGCGGAGGCCGTAGGTGTGTTCGTCTGCGAGTTTTCGTCATTTTCATTACCAGATAGCTCCTTACGTTTAGGCTTGTTGGGGATAGCACGAGCGACCGTAATTTGATCTAATGGTGCACCCAACACCGTATTGCATCGTCCTTGCCTTGCCATAGGATTGGTTTGATTCTGATTTGCGTGTCTGCTGCGCCTTACAACATTTGCATTTTGCCGTTGCTGAATATCCTGAGAATGATTAGTCGCTTGTTGGAATGGAAGCCGCTGAATATCATTAATTGAAATTAGCACGGCTCGAAATCCCTCAGGGATCCAGTATGGTTGCAAGTTTTCACGATTGCGTGAAACTCGCATAGAGCGGGTAGTCATATTGTTTTCATGGACATTTGTGAGAACTTCGTAGTGCAATTGTTGCGAGGCCATATTGAATTAGTAGAGTCTTAGTAAGAAAAAAAGTGGAGTAGATGTGTCGAAGAAGATTGATGGGGTGAAGCGCGAAAACTGAGAGGTAGGTAAGGTGACGAGTGTGTGACGGTGGAATAGGTCCTCGTAACAGAAGCACAGTAGAAAGTTCTCTCTTGTAATAAGTTGAGCTATGAAGAAGTTGTGTCAAGCGAGGAGGAGCTTGATCATTTTATGTATTTTTTTCCCCCTCTCAATATCTTTTTTTTTTTTGCTTTACACAGAAAGAAAGTTGCGGCTTTGAATAGTGATAATTCGTTAATAATAATTATATTTATTAATATTAATATAATAAATTATTTATAATGGTAGGTGATGAGAGAGAGGTAAAAAAAAAAAGAATGTGGAAAGAAACGGAACGAAGATGAAGACAGGTGAAGGAATCAATAGAGAATAAAATAGGGTTAGGTTGATATGATGCATATTTTTGATGTGTAGTATATGCTGTGTATCAAGTAGAATGCAAGAGATGACTCCTGTTCGTTTCTTTACCTTTATTATGCTCCTTATTTCCTGATGAGTATTGCATAGTATAATATATATTTTTTAAATCCGAGATGAAATATGCAGGAAGAGGACAGCCCTTGTTATTAATGAAAGTCAACTACAAAGAATAAATAAGATTGGCAGTATAATATGCGCATTGTATAATTCATAAAATAGCTGATATTGTACGGACGATGAATGTATATTTTATTTATTTCATATCACACATTGTTTTTTTAATATATCACACATTATCTATTTATCTATCTATCTTATCTGTTAAAATATACATGGTTAATATATACTTACTGTTTACTTGTGTGATATATCTTTTCTCGTTGTTCTCGTATACGAACAGGATACGGGTGTGTGTAAGTATTATCGTCGAAATGTATGCATATGTGTCAATAACCAGCCCCTTTTCTCTACTTTTCGTAATTGCCTCTGTTTTGCCACTCTTTGCTCGAATTTGACTAAGATGTGCGCTGTATCCGGATGTGGAGACAATATTTGTGCAGGAAGATATTGTTCAAGACGGCTCTCCCCCTCTTGTTAATTCTTTCTCGTCGGAAGAATGACTACTGCACGTTATTTTAAAAAAACTGTGGATTGAATTCTATTAATATGCGAGTATATGTAGTAGGATAAGTAATATATTGATGACATACATCACATCACATACATATATTACAATTCATTGTCTTGTATTCCTTTTCTCCCCCACATTTCAATCCATCACATGTGACAAGAAACATTTTGCGATGACTGTCAGTGGGGAATAGCGAGTTCTTTTAGGCAGGGCGGGTGACGGTTAGCAAGTTCTTATGACATTCAAAGTCTTACATGTAACGTTCTCTACGACCCTCGTTGTATCCAGTAAGTTTTATTGTTTCATTGTCTTCTTATATATCACTCCCAGATGATTGGAAATTTCCCGTCGAATGTGTTCAGGCTTTTCCCGGATAATTGGATGTTTGTGGTGACTTGACTTTTTGCTAATGTCACGAACACAAATTTCACGTTCTCGATGACCAAACAAAAGATTAAAACAAAAGGTCCTGTCGAAACAATAGCAATGCCGGCAATGGGCGGCCAAAAGTAGTGTAGTGACTATCTGGGCGGATTATTCAATTGTGTGTGTGAGTGTGGTATGTTATGCATAATCCGAATCCACTCGGTTTTGTATTTTTCATATCCTATAACTCCATATATATGTATTTGCATTCCAGTTCGCCATAATAAATGATCTACGTCATTGTATAACAATATAATATGCGATTGGGATTCATAAACAATATATTCAATTGAAACCTAACTACTATTACTTATTTGAGGCATGTACTGGTTCTTAGTGATATTTTTGTTAACTAATAAACGACAGCAGAGTCCATTGTTATGAACATCATTGTTGCATATGTATATAATATAAACTTTGAATGTCTATTACGGAGCACAATGAATATGTTTGTTGACTGTGTAACATAATATAATAACATTATGGTCATTATGTATGTATGTATCATAGACAAATATGATACTACATATGGACAACACAATCATAACACTGTAATTTGATAACAAGACATTAAGAATAATGTGTTCCATGCACACATTCAACAATCACCACGCGAAATATGAAACACGCGAAACATCACTTAGCCAGACATCTTAGTCAGTATATCAGATAGAGAGAACTCCTCCCCTTCCCCCCAACCACCTAATACATTAAATGCATATTATTGCATATATTTCTCACAAAGTAATCTTTTCTTTATTGTGTCGACTGATAACTCTGCCTCATCTCTCAACCTCACATTTGCAAACGATAAAGTGATATGAGATGAACTTTTTAACTGTTGGTTGTTGTAACAACATCTATTGTTGGTTATCACCAAGGCGATCATACATTTCACGCACGCACATCACATCCATTGCGGTCACTCATCATCCATTACAACAATTATCAACATTACACCTACTTCACTGGTCATTGTACATCAATGTCATTTGACGTTTGCACTACCTTTGAATCTATTGTTACTGTTCTGCTTGCTTGTTTGCGTTAGGCAATAGACTCTTTGTGCAGAGTGCAGGACGGGGTATGTCTGCGAGCGTTTGAAAATGAAGCGTTATCGATCCCTGCCTAATATATTGTACCGAGTCATGTTTCTATGTACATACATAAAATTAACAGCATTGCCGTTACATATGACTTTTATACTATCAACAATAACTTTACTACATAAAAAGTTAGTAGAAACCAGCCAACAAAAATGCATTGGTAGTTATTGATCGACTAACTATTAATGGTATTCAGCAGCAATGTTACTCGCTGCTACTTGTCCCGAATGAACTGCCCAAAATGAGACGATATAACATTGATGCAAGCGCATGTATACGGTCCCAATATTGTCATAAGGTCGATATGCTCCCCCATAGCGATAAGGTGAGACGTAGCATATGTGTGGGATAAAAATGTAGCGAGGCATTAATAGAACAAAGAATATTTTCAACATCAAAAGAATAAAGCTTTTCATGCACTTATTGTCCAAACTTGTATTATGCCAACAGAGAAAAAAAGGCGTTTTTGCAAGTTTATACAGGGCGTTGCTCTTAACAAGTATTGTCCAAAAAAAAAAAATAAAATAAAAAATGCGGCGTTTTGCCGTGCGTACGCTGTGAGAACTTACGCGCGTGAATTCACGGTATTGAACAAGATGTATATTTAGCAGTAGCTAAAAAAAAACTAGATGATCATGATAATGGTTACCAAGTTATTGTTATAATTCTTGTTACAATCACAACATATGCAATATTGTGATTCGTTTATTGCTTATCGTTTATCTGTACTTTACCGTAAAACTTGGTATGTATAGCATACATAGATGTCTATGTCAATCTTCCCCAGAGTACAAAGGGGAGATCTTGGTGGGGAGAGGGAGTGCGAATAGAGGAGAGACGGACGACGATACAGTCGAGTGAGGATAGTATCTTCAAACGACATTCTTGTTCGCCTATTATGATTAGTAAACTTCAAATCATGTGAATAGGGTCCTATCAAAGCTTATGTGATCGAGATATGATAATATACATTTACAATGATACTATAAAGGAGTCTACTTTACCTTATGTAATCATCTTATTCTCAGCCAATTTTACATACAATATTTTGCATTTGTGATTTTCGACTATCAACTTGCCATATACGGTATTAAATTCAATGGTGTTAGTATTACTATTATTATTATTATTATTATTATTATGAAGAATTATTTTATAGTACTTTTATTTATACGACGTCTATGGGTTGGGCTTGATTGTCAAACCACAAGTCGGTATATTCCGCATTCCTTTTTTTGCTTCGCTTACATATGTCTCTCGCTATTTTCTGTTCTTTGTCCACATTCTTGTCCCATGCATCAATGTCACGCTGCTCAACAGCTACATATCAATCGATCATTGTTAAGGCACAATGATCACTGGGTGATGCTATTTTGGGATTAGGAGTAGCCATCTCGGACAATGGTAATTATGGTCATTGACTGTTGTGGTTATCACACTGCCGATAAACAATGATGTATGAACGAGGGTGAGTGGTGTTAAACGAATGGTTGAGAATGAATAAACAAATGCATACATGAACAGATGTGAGAGTAATATTGGCTATTTTTTTCGACAGCAGTTGTTGTCCTGAGGACGCACAATAACATGTTATTGTTGATAATTGTAAATATTTGTATGACTGGCATTTATCTGCGACACAGATGAAAATATATACCAACATGCGTTATTATTATCCATCTTTTCTCTGTTACTCTTAAACTTTGCAATTGTGATACAACAACAAGTCAAGTCGGACAAACACTTATTACATTGTTCCATAAGAATATTGATTCAGTATATTCGGCGCCAACTGCATGAATTATATGCTATTATCACACTCTTGCCAAACGATGCGAGACATCACCCATGAATAGAGTTCGTAAGATGTGATTAGCAAGAACAATAAATACCATACGAACTGCCAAAAATGTACTTCAACGCCCAACTACTGATGCATTTGCGTATCTTTAGTTCTTAACTATATTCCCACCTGCATATCCAACGTGCTCAATACAACTTTCCTTCGGAAAAATCACGCGAGAGATTATCCCGTGCGTAAAACCTTGCGAACAAAGTCCAATTCTATTGCCAATGTTAATATATTATTAGAATAACATTTCCGCAATCAAATGATTTTGGGGAATTCATTCATATTCACTTACAATGCAAAGCATATTTTTCTCTCTGCATGAAATCAAATGACAGATACGCGTGGAGTGAAAAAAAAAAGGCTGACAGATTTCTACTGCGTGTCGAAACGAACTTTAGAATGAAAATCAAAAGCCTGATTACTATAATGATAGTCGTACATATGTAAAGGGTTCTTATCTCAGTTATTAAGGTTCTTTGTTGTCGTTGATGTCATTTGTCATTATAGTTGTCGCCATTGACATTTTAATTAATGCATACATAAACACACTCTGGGCATTATTTTATTCTAACTGAATGGATACTCTCGATAATGTTTACACGATATACAACTTGTTGTCTCCATACCTCATACCCCATACCAACCCAACCCAACCCAACCCAACCCCCATCGTATCTCTTCATCTTTCGTTATCATCCATCTACTCGCAACATTGTTCTTTTCTGACTCTCACAGATTCCCTGCACGCATCGTGGCTTGTCTCTGCTGGCATGTGAGATATGCATACAAGTCAATTCATTGACGGAGAGACGTTGACAAAAAAAGGGCTTAGACGTTTCATAAAAAGAATAATCACAACATAAACACTGCAATAAACATAACTATCACCGCAGAATCAGGTATTGGATTTATTTGGATAGGTTGAAGTTGTGTCATAGGTTGAACGAAGTACAGGCGGAGCTCCCGGATTTTGGGGAAGAGTCGAGGAGAAAGAATGAGGCGCAGATACGGTGAAAGCGAACTATGTGACCCCCGCGAGATGTTAACAGTTGAGAGTATTCAGACGACCAGACGAGAAAAAAAAATTATATACAACTTCCCCGATAAGAAAAAGCAAAGCACATCCCCCTCCTACATATCAACCAATTGGGTCGAGTAGATAGTATGGGCACCTGACACCGACACAGGTTCCCATAAATGTACCCGTTTCTTTTTGTTTATCCGCCTATTATGCACTTGTGATTGTAGTAAGTGCGATGATGTCATTATACAAGCAGGCACACAATCGGTTGTGGAGTAAAGTTGTGTGGAGTAGGTGAGGGTTGTGGAGTGGGAGTGGAGTGGGAGTGGAGAGTGGAGTGAGAGCGGAGTGAAAAGTGGAGTGAAAAGTGAGGGTTACGGAGAAACGAGCAACTTGTGTAAATTGAGGAAATGATAACAGTTTAATATAGTGCATACCGCTCGAAAATAATTCAATATAATTTGAAAGACTACTTATAATAAACACAATCATGAAACATACTATGTACATACACAAGAAATGATTGCCACATGATCCAGTCACATGATACGGTCTACATTATTACTATCACAATATACGATACGAGAACGATGCGTTCAACTAGCAAACACATTTTCTCTGAATTTTCTCTCGGATTTTTGTCTCTTCTGATACGCTTCCGACACAGATTTCGCTCTTGCTCTTGTCGTACGCATTCGGTTTAAAGACGAATCATCTGAAAACAACTGAAGTGATTGGGACGGGCTATGTGATGCGGATGATGTAGGTGAATTTGGAGATGTAAAGCATGTCGGTGAAGTGGGTGATCTGAATGAGAAACCATCATCATTTCGACCAGATGCAACCGTTTGTTGCTGAGATTGTTGCTGTCTCTGTAGACTCGATGACATTAATTTCTCATACTGCTCTTCAGAAACCATTGATGATCCCTCCAACGATGCTTCCTTCCACATTCTGATTATTCTTTCTCGTCTTCTATATTTATCAGGCAGACCTTTAAGAGTTTCCACGTTCTCTAATTTTTCACCCTTATCTTCACCAGATCCATTGATTATTCCATTTGGCCGTTCAATTTCATTCTTTCCGCCAATCTTCTCGTCTGCAACCATCTTTCTCAAATCCTCTCTACTCTCCAATTTTGCGAGTAAGGCCGGTGAAGGAAGAGGTGGTTTAGGAGTAAATGGAAATGGATGGATGCCAGCATTCAGTGATATTCCAGTGCGTGAGATTACAGGGCTTGAAAATGTCGAACTTTTTTGGGAGTCACGGGTAGATGAAGATGATGTCTGCGAATGCAGCGTTTGCTTTTGCTGTGGATCGCTAAACGTTGATAAACTACGAGTTGAAGAGGCTTTCGTGGTCAAAACTGGAGTAACAATGTTCATAAGAGGATCATTTTGAGTCTTGTTTATTTTTTCACTTTCGCACTTGTCTTCTTCATTCAGATCACCCGCTCCCTTCTGCCTTACTCTGGGTGCAAACGGAAACGGCTCTGCATTAAACCTCTTTATCGAAGGCGATGAAGGGGCTGATTTGGAGTGAAGGCCACCAGTTTTCCTGAAAGTCTGTACATCAAGGTTTAAGTTTGATATTTTATTGTTTTGCGTGAGAGAGTTTGTCGTGCGGTTGAGACCTTCTCTTTCGGTAGTCGACGAGAAAAGTGCAAGAGAATTGGTTGGACGTTCATCAGATCCAGCTGAGCCAATTGAAGTTGCATTTCCGCTATTGGGATGATTAATCGAGCCATCATTGCGTACATCTCTTCCATCAGGCGTTGCGGGTGACGGTGCAGGTGATTGTGCTCTATCTTTCTTTTTAACATGACTAAAATAGTCCATTACAACGGTTAGCGAGTTTGTAGGTGTAGTCGGTTGTGGGCTTGCCAATTTTGCTTCTGTTGGAGTTGGAGGTGGAATGCGGGGGGACGATGGAGTGGGCGACGGCGGGAGAGGAGAGAGTGTTTTTGGAGAAGATGGAGGGATAGCGAGGGCGGGTACGAAAGGATTGGCAGAAACATTGATAGATATTGGAGTGAGCGTAGAAGGGTTTGAAACGGGAGCAGAACTGTCACTTGAGCTGCAACTTGAAACGTCGCTTAATCCGTCATTCAAATAATCCCGTTGAGTTGTGATATCGGATTTAATAAGAGCTCCGGCATCATACATGCGTCTATCACTCAATTCCGGCTCCACTCTTTTATCATCTTTTACAGGAATTCCCGATGTCTCCGCAGTTTTGTGCTCATCGAAATTTTGATAATTTGTGATATTATCTTCGTCTAGAAAAAGAGGCGACATGCTTGGAAGCGAAAAGGTCAAAGGAGAAAAATAAGATTTTGACAAAGTATCCCTATCTATTTTGGATAGTTCACCGTTCATCTTCATTTTTGATAAGTCCCTAGACGCTGGCTTTTTGATATCTTCGGCCGGAAAGCTACTGTCGTTATCGCCACTAGTATTACTAATATCATTCCCGTTTTTCCCGCTTCCGAATCCAAGAGACCTCATAATATTTTTCCTGGACGCCTTCTTCTTTGTCTCTGTTTTTCTGCTTTTCTTCATTCCCAGTTTTCCTTTCTTATCCACTTTTCCAGACACCTTTACCATATCGCATTTATCCACTTCACCTACATCGTCATCACGTTCCTCATCTACGAACAGGGTACTGGCCAAAAAGTTCGCCAATATTGGGTCCAACTTTGCTTTTGTAATAAATGTATCACCTTTTCCAAACCTAACTATCGGTATCGGAGCATTGATCGAGCAAATATGATTCCATGCGCGATCTGGAGCATGTTTCATTGTTTCGAGAAGGAAACCTATGCGCGAAAAAGTGTCTATTGTGCTTGTATGAAGGTTTTTGGCGAGCGGAACGATAGCTTGGGATGTTTGAGCACCTTTACGTAGAATATGCTTACAGGTTGATCGTCCGAAACTACATTTATTACCTGTTAAGGGTTGGTCAAAATTGTATCTGCCCATCGTACGCTGTCGATCCCATTCTATCACACTCATGGACCATGATGCGGTATTCCATTGGTTCTTCAAGAGAATCGTTTCTTCGCGTATGATATCTAATGCGGATTTGATACTTTTCACAATATCAGGTAAACTCCCAAGTACTTGTGGATCTAACAAACAATCGTCAAAGTTCATTCCATTCCCCTCAGAATTGTCAAGTGTAATGTTACATTCATGCAAGCGACGAACAAGTTCACGTGAAAAGTATCCTTGACTTGCATGAAGTATCTGCATTGCACGACGGGAAGATGAGTACAACGATGCGTTTAGTGTCGAATGCTGTAACGCATCAAAAAGCGAAAAAGGGTAAAAGGTATGTTTCTCTGATACGTATAAATCGCGTAGTTGATGTGGTTGTCTCATCGGTTTTACGAGTAGAATAATTTTTATAAACGGTTTCTTTGGTATTTGTCCTTGACACATGTTTTGAGAATCTTCGACGGCAAGGGATGAGGTTATCGTTAGATTTGGGCTTGTAGTATTGGCTCGCTCATTATTGCTAGCAGCAGGCTTTCCACCAGAATCGATTGCGCCGCTAGGTTCCATTTCTGTGATCCGATTGCATTGGCCTTCATTCAAATCCTCCAAAATACTAAACATCTGTCTTGTTTCCTGGTTATAGTACACGTCTACGGTGTGTTCCCCATAAATATCACCAGAATCCCACATGAGTTTCGTATCACTTTGTAATTTATAATACGATTCCACAAAAGCACGCTGAAATTTTGTCAGTGCCAATGAATTTTCATTTTCATTGTTGGTATCCTTGATAGAATCAACCAAGTTTCCGAACTCGTCAGGATTCAAACGACTCAATGATTTTATCCAAGAAGCTTCCTCGGACGATATTGATGCTTCGTCGCGTATCTTCTCCAGTGGAATAAACTGCTTGCGATCTTTCTGTACTAATACGCGCAGACTTTGGAGAGAACTCTCGGTATGGAGTAATCCGACGTATAGTCCCGGGGATAGTCTTGATTTACGAGAGCACCAGAATGAGAAATAATTGGTCCATATCGGGCAACTGTCCTTTGCGTATATGGCGTTCAATTCGTCAAGCGATTTCCACTTGAGTATTCCTGACTTGACTATTTCTGACGCAAGTTCGTCTTTTGATGAGTATGGCAAGTACTGGACGGTGATTATGAATTTTGTCTTTGAGCTTGTCATAATTACAACATGGTCGTAGATGACTCCTAAATGTGGGAGCGCTATCTCATTGCGTAGTTTCTCTACAGCTCGATTGAAACAGTTTGACCAGAAATTTTCATTGTCAACAGGTGATTTACCTGCTATGTCCGACGTCACCGGGTCAGACGAATGGTCAAATAATGATGGTGATGACGAGGATGCCGCTGTTGCTGTTGCTGCTGAAGATGATAATGCTGTTGTCATTGGTGTTGATAATAATGCCGATTGTGATGGTGATGGTGATGGTGATGACGATTGTAACGGAGATGATGACAGTGATGATGGTGATTGAGCTAACCAATCAAGACATGTGCGGAAAGCGCAGTTGAACTCTTCAGACTCGTCAGACAAGGTAGAAAATAATTGATGATCACGTGTTATCTCAACTGTCGGATAATAGTGAGAGCCTGCTGTCATGAGTAACTTGTTGTCTGCGGTGAAGAGAATTGTGGATAGGTAAATGGTTTCTGATTGAAGACGAGTTCGGAGACAAGTTTTCTGATTGAATACACTCCGTTTCCGTGACTGAGGTAATGTCAATCCTTGCGAGAATTGATTAGGCTTCCGTAATGATAATTAGAATGTTAGTCAACACTCACTTAGCTTTGCTGCGTTACTATTATACTTGCCTGTGATCCGCTCGCAAGACGGTAGTATTCAGGCGTTTTCTTCCGTAATAACAACATCTCCTATTGTGTCACGATCATATGCCATTCAATACCAAGTGATCTTTGATAATAGCAACTCTACACCAAATTACCTCTTCAAAATATGAATATGACTCGCTTAACCATTGCTCGAGCAATTTACTATATAGCGCATAATTCCATGAATCATCAATCCCAAGCGTCTTACACGCAGTTTCCAATACATGCTGGACGGTAGCTCCTTTTGTGTATTGCACATCTAGAATGTCATTTCTAGCCTCAACGCATATCTGTATATGGTATCTAAATTGAAAAGGCAAGAAAATAAGATCAGTGACGAAAAGAGATAACTCGTGATCGATAGATCGTTCTGGCGGCATTCGTTTTCTGATGAAAAAACACGCACAAGCTCTTTATTACTTACTGACTCGTGTTATCCATTATCATATTCATGTAAAGATAGCCGCGCTGTGTAAGTCACAGTTGTATTTATAATGATGATGATATCAATAGTAATGGTATCATTAATTTGTAAAATAATATACAGTAAAACGTAAACAATAGATAAAAGAAAGATGACGGGGAATGAAGCAAAAATGATGGATTTATCTGCAATCATGAGTTATTTGCTGCGTATCACTTGTTAATTATAGTTAATTAATCATACAAACAAGGCAATGTGCACCATTATCGCTTCTTTACACGGCCGTGTCGCTAGTGCATGTTACCTGAATATTTCTTCATTTCCGTCCTATTTGTTTGGATTCAACGTGTGATTTGTCCAGTACTGTATGAACTTTAATATAAACGACAAAAATAGGAGTTTGTGACCGTTATTTGAAATGACATGTCGTAGTTTTTATTTTGACAGAGATGCTATGCATTGGGAATGAAATGACGTTTGCTGGAGGCATTGAAGATTAGAATGATTGCGTTGGTTGAATGAGAAGATATGAGGATAACTGGCGAGATACAAGCAAGCATAGATAAAAGTCCGAAACATCAATTGAATGGAAAAGGTACCAGTTAAGGGGTTCGTTTAACGACTCCATGTAACAGCAAGAGTTTCCATATTAGCATGATAAATAACTCGTTTGGACTTAAGCTTATTCTGGGCAATCGGAGATCATGAAGTAATTCATTCAGCTCGAATATCTATTCTTGTAAATAATAAATTTGTAAGTAATGAGGTTGGAGGAACGGATCGTTATGATATTCTGTAATACATACCAATTAGATTAAACTCGGCTGGGCATAGCAATAATAATGATAAAAAAATTAATAAGGATTAATTTTTAAAACGTTACTATTGTAACACCATAACAAACCTTGAAACGGAAATAAATAATACACAAAACAGACTTTGATTGGTACTGGGAATGTGACCATAATGTAAACTATTACTATCTATATTTGATATTTGAAACAGAAGCTGAACATTACTAGTAAACCTTCTGATGTTAATGCTTTGATGCATGTCATTACTGTCACGATGAACGGATGAATTAATCTTCAGTACTAGTACTATGAATGCTACTTGTATGTTCAACACGGAACTTATTTCTTCTCTTTCTTCTTTTGAAAGTTGTTTCCCTGATTTAGTTTCTACATTAAAACTGATCTGCCCATGCGTGGGCTTGTGAACGTGGCCTTTGACACTTGGACAACGTTACTTCATGTTAAATGGTTAAGTTCAATGTGATGAATGTCCTAATTTAAAAACGATGACGTTAATAAGACATATATGATTGTATTGCAAACTGTATGTTATGGCGAGAACTCTTACTATTACATAGTCATATTGCTCTAAGTGAATGTGTACATAAATAAATAGACAAGATGTGTTTTGTGACCTGTAATATAAATATTTGTTTATTATAGTTGTTATACAATGAGATGATCTCCTTGGCCAGAAATGCGTGTAATATGTAATTGTAATTGCTTTTGTAATTTTCTGGTTACAATACACATTTGCTCTACCTACAATTATTATTAATTAACACTCTGTAACTTACTTTATGTATGTTACAATAACATCTAAATTTTGTTTCTATTTCAATGCGGGATTAGTCGAATAGGAAATTATTAGTATTAGAGTGTCAAGCTAATAATATTTGTCCGAGTTGTGTAACAGTTATTATTCTTTGTTATTACGGACAGACATATCGATTTGTAAAAAGTGTAGCTGTAAACGTAATATCGAGATGAACTTGGCCGTGTTTATACATACTGGTTCCCTAAATGAGTAGGCGTCAATACGGATCAGTCCGAAAGCCAAATATTAGATGGAGACCTTGAGTAAAGTCATTAGTAATCGTAATCTTTCCGCGTAGGCCTTCGTTCCTGATGATCTTGATAAAGCAAATCACCCTACTTCTCAGAATTTGGTTTTTCATTATCCATCTTGCATGGCATAATTCACGTCAAGGCCTATGCATCGACCGTCGTTTCTGCAAAATTGCCGCAATACAAAAAGAGAAAACCAAAAAAGTAAAGCAAAAACATTTTGTATTTTTCTATCCAGTTATAGAGAAGGAATCCGTAATGGGTTTATGTGTAAGGACTTACATGCGTATGTTTGATTTATTTGATTGAACAACTTAGCGTTTGATATGTAGACGGCTCTGTCGTTGTGTAAATCTCCATACGGGATATCGACGATTGAATTAGTATTTTAGACAATATGGCGCGATGAATGCTTTGGAAAAGTCATAATAACAGAAGCAGAGGGTGTTGTAGATACGATTCGTGTTATTCAACTGTACAATTTAGACGTTCTAATGACAGACTGTTATTTTGATCATATGAGAAAAATGTACGCGTTTACATTTTTCATTGGTAGCACGCGATAGGTGTAAAGGGACTCAATCTGCTATACCAAAATGTTACTTTTGCAGTCGGAAGTCACCATAGTGTTCCTGGTGAACTTTTTTTATACATGCGATCTTTCGTTAGCTTATTACCCAGTAAAATGATAAAATATTATATTATATAGGATTACTTGTATAGGATATGAAAATTCTAAATATAATGGTTCGACCGAATACGAGATACAATACGTTTCTTTGAGATAGGAGAATTGCCGAGTTACGTCAAGCGTTACGAGTTTTCTTATATATATGCTTTAATGGCCCAGCTCAAGGTCAATGTTTGAAAAGAAAACACGCCCTAATAAAAGAACGTTATATCTCAACATGTTCGCACTCATTCGGAATCATCTGAGCATCCGCGATGGAAACTAACCCATCGGTAAAAACGTTGCCACCCTGGAGAATGTTACGCTGAAATTCATGGATCATAGACTGCTTCTCCTCCAAATGTATCTCATTGCGATGATATGTCAGAACATAAAATTGTTTGAACGCTTTTTTATTATAATACAAAGTCTGCTACAGTATATTACAAAATCATCCTTAGCTGGTCTTAAATATGCTAGTCAACAAAAATCTAAAGCTTTGAAATTGCTGTTCATTAGCACTCTTCGGTAACAGAAACTGAACAGTCTTAGTCTCATGCTCTTTCTCAGTCACGTGTTTTGGAACGCGAGAATTTTCTATCATAAATCCCTTAGTACACTTCAACACTAACTCTCCCCGTTTATATAAAATATTCTCATCGACTGATAAATCGGCAAATACATCGACATTGGATGGTAGTAAAAGAAAGGGAATTGAGATGGCAGTAATATCAAATCTATTAACAGTACGAAGAATGTTGCGGAGACCCGCGATCACGGGAGATCGTTGGCTTATTTCTGATCTCTCGATTGCTGAATACCGATTTGTATTATTAGTATCGCAATAAATCGATAAAAATCAGAAATCAATACAATGATGAAGTCTTACATTCAAAATCAATCACCAAATGAAATACAATATGAACCAATGGCAAGTTGGAATGTCTCGTAATGAAGAAGTCGCCTTCACGAATAGGAATAGCATCGTCAGAAGCACTCCTCATAAAGTCTTCTTCTATAAGTTTCAACTGATAGTCAATATCATCAAAATGAAATTCGGTCGACTCTTTGCATCGCTGAAAGAACTCTGAGGGGATAGAATCAACACATACACAAAAAAAAGGTCAAATGAACCATTCTTAACAGTACCACACCCACCCCACACACGGCCTGATCCTCAGTTTCTCTTTACCAGCATTAGCGCTCTGGCCCAGCTTATACTTTGGCCAATCCTTGGGCGTCAAAAGCAAAACAACAGCGGTCAGGTTCTGCGAATATAAATCCGCTGTCGTTTGCGCTCGATACGCCATATCTCTTACTTCATCGTTGGGCGACTTGAACAAGTCGTCCATGTCGGAGACAAGAAGGCGAAGATTGTGTGTAGACTTTACTTGATTCCCCAGTGAAATTGTAAACGACTCGACGAGTTCAGGATCCTCTAATGATATTCTAGGGTTATGTCTAAAAGTTTTGTTAGAGTGAGAATAAGGGGTATAGTTTGTTAATGCAAGCAACGGATTGAGTTTGCAAATTTGCTTCCGGAAAAGACACACGCCACACCTGCATATAAGACTCCTCATTTGTCAAAACCTCTTTCAATACCTCACTTCCACCCGCAGAAATACCTACTCACTTCCATCTTCAAAACCCAACCCCTCTATGGCTTTCCCAAGCCATGTGCCAATTTTTCTCACACTCGCGCTATTCGGTATCGAGTTTTTCTGTTGTTGGAAGAATGAAATTGGCGACCAAGCCTTTTTACCTTCTTGCTTTGTCTGTATTGCTAATGATTGTGACTTGTTGAAGGACTTCGCCCGACGATGAGTGGGCGGCGCATCTTTTTGGTTAGAAGATATTGCAGGGACTGAGGGGCGGCGGGGCGGGGCAGACGAAGAGGACGCTGCAAGTTGGGCAGCAATCTTATCGGGTTGATCGACCAAGAGAGCGATTGCTTGTTCCTTTTGAGCAAAAGTGTAGGTAACAGTCGGGTATAGTGTGTCCAAAGGATACGCGATAAAAAGTGAGAATGGAACAACCTCATATCCGTGGCCAGAGTAAAAGGAAAAAAGTGCAACAAAGAAACGTCGTAAACATACCATATTTCCTTTCGCTAACTCAAACGCAAGCCGAGCTTGATCGGGTTCAAATCCCATTACTTGCAACTCACCTATGCTCTTCACTACTTGAGGATCATCGTCCTATCATTGTAAATCAATATTCAATAAAATCTTTTTGCAATGATTTCCTCGATCACCCCTCTCCACTTAACATACATCTAAAAACATATTTTTCTTCTCTTCTCCCCAGAAAACCTTCGGGCTTGTAGGGGTAGGCAATGGCGGCGTTCCGACAATCTCCGCCAAAGATCCTACGCTGCCATGCCTACTTCTTTTTCCCTGTTCATCTGCATCTATCTTTAACAGTTGCTTGGATAGCTTTTTATCGCCACTTTTCATCTCGGCAATGACCTCAGATACTAGCTCTTTACCATCAAAACGTTGTGCACTAGCAGGGTCTGAAGAGGATTGTTGTTCAGAGAGAAAACGTTGATAGGCTTCATAGAGTTTTAGAATAAAGGAACAATATTCTTGTTTTTGTTCGTAGCGCATTTGGTCCAATTCCGAATCTCGGGTGGCTTGAGCAAGTTCTTGTTCCTGTATTGTAGCAGAAAAGAGACATGTTTATTCTTTTGAAAAAGTTACTGCGACTTTATCAACACGATTCCTTCTAATCACTACCAATCAAACAAATTGCCGGATTCCTTCCTCACCTCATAATGCTTCGATACCAATTGCTGAATTTCAAAATCATTAGTCAAGTCCGCGTTCTGCCTCATCTCTTCGTTGTGTCTTTCCTTCAACATCATGAGCTCTCTGTCTCTCGCACCTCTAACTTCTTTAAGCGCTTGACTATAACTTCGTTCTAATTTCAAGAGTATATCAAATATTGATGAAGCTGGCGAGCGCACAAGCGTATGATGAGCTTTGGGGAAAATATCCTTATGATATATTGTTAATTAGATCAGATAATGGAATCATTTATAAAGTGCAAGAATGTAAGGCGTTGGGAGGAAAGGACATAAAAAAACCTAATAATTACTTCTGCAGGTGTATCATTATATCTGACTGTGTATTTCTGGTATTTAGACACTAAAAGCTGACGTTGGACGGTCGCCACCCCGTTAGACGTGACTATTTTAATATTATATGAATTAGTCTATATCTAAGCATTTATTTGATCCTACTACCCCTCACGCATACCTTTTGCATTGTGTTCAATACTTTTCCTCCAATCCTCATTCATGAGAGTCTCCACAGTTGACAAAATAGACATTTCCAAATAACAAGGTACGTTGTTTACCTCCATAAAATGTCGTATCGTATCCACAAATAGTTGGTCCTTTTCCAAACTTATAGTGAGAACGATCGGAACATTACTAGGTGGAATAGTAAATTGAAGATCTACTGATAAGTTTTTGAGTACTTTTGTTGGCGACATGGATAAAGAAAGGATACTGAGGATTGTTGAGAATGGATTTTTTATTTAAGGTTTACATGTGATACGGCCTTAAATTAATTTTATATACAACGCGGGCATTTACACTATTTATATCAAATATGTCAGGCAAGGTACGGATACTTTCAGAAACTAATACAACTAAATGTAGTCGTATTCTCTCTCACCCGCGCGATTATTAACCTTCACAGCAAAATCTTGGAAGCTTCAAAAGTCTTGCACGCGGGATCATTGGTGTTAGCGCTTTCGCGCAAGAATCAAAGTCGAGTAAAGTTTCCCCGACCGAACCAGTTAAGAGAAAACACCGTGTTAAGTCGATTGGAGGACGTGAAGGTATGATGAACGCGTATTCTTACTGATTTAGAGACAAAGGCTGCCTCGCTTCCGCTTAGGTCTTGAATGTAATATAACTCAGGCCTCCTCGTCTAAATCTGAACGCGCGTTTTCAGAATTAATAATAGGCTCTTTACCGACGCAATTGCAAGAGTATGCGATAATTGAAGATTTATTATTTGTAATGATGGTATATATTATGGAATTTTTATTGACACCTGTTGGTAATCAGAAATTGGCCTCTCTAAAGAAATTATCTTGAAAGGGTATCGAGGGAAAATATATTGAAGTTAATAAAGCAGACGGTCTTACTGAAGAAATACGGTACATTGAAGGGATCGACTATGTTGTTGATTCGACATTAGGTGCCCGTCTTGTTCTCGTGTAGTTTGTTTTCTCTCCTTAACATGTCACTAAAAAGTTTGATTAACTTACAGATCCATCACTAAAGGACCTTGCCGAACGTATTCTCCCGCTGGCGACTTACTATACTGCAATTGAAGCTTTTGTTGAGACATATTCCGAGATGAAATATGGATTTGTTAATCATGCTTTATGTGGTGCAATACGCGAATTATTGAAAGTATGCCTTTTGTCTTTGCAAGTCTTTCGGATAACAGTTTCTTATCATGCTCTTATAAATTGCTCATCCCATTTTGTTTAGGAATACTTAATCCTTATAACACAATTGGAACACCAATTCCGCACCTCTTCTTCGTTCACATTGCAAAAGTTCTGGTTTTATGTTCATCCAACTCTTCATACGATGTCCAATATTCACTCATTGGTTATGGAGATACGCGATAACTATCAAGATTCAGTAGAAGATGACGATAGTCATAATGGATATGACGAATTATTGAACTGTGACGGCTTCAGTAAAAAGAATTCTATTCCACAACAAGTTAAAGGAGGAGGAATATTGTCTATTCTTTCGTTCCGGATGAGTCAGTTGAGTGGGTGAGTCTATTTAAAAATTATAAGAATAGCCGTGTCGTTTTCTCTCAATTCGTTGTTATTGTAGTCATTCTTATCATTGATTTTGATCATTCGACATATTCTTATGAAACAAAGCGAAACTTTTTCTATTTTGGTTCTTATCTTCAAGTGACCCAGATACCAAAAAACTCTACATATATCTACTCTCAAGAGCATCCAAACCATACATTTCAATGATGCACACTTGGATCCATCATGGTGAGATACGTGATCCATATGATGAATTTATGATTCAAGAACGGAAGAACGTGAAGAAAGAGCATCTGAAGGAAGACTTTAATGACACATACTGGGAGATGCGATATACTATACGGGAGAATACAGTGCCCCCATTTTTGGTACCGTTTCAGAAGAAAATATTATTAGCAGGGAAATATTTGAACGTGATTAGAGAGTGTGGAATAGCTATCGAAGAGCCAAGAAAGAAGACGATTGATGAAAGCGTTGCGGAAAGTAAGGCAGATCGAACAGACGTTAATGTGAATAGTGATGTGCTTTTGGCTATGGATGGTGGCAGGTGAGGATCGAGTCGTTGTCGTGGCTTTTGATTCATTAACTAAACTGATTTATGGCTCACCTTATCTTCTGCAACGCAGGTTTGTTGAGAATATCGAGATAGCATATAAACGGGCGAATAGAACTTTACTAGACTTGCTTCTAAAAGATCAGCAATTACTTGCTCGACTGAGGTACCCATCATTAATCTACATAATTATTTTCACTAACTTGCTCAAAATTCTATTGATTTATTCACATCTTTATTCTTCAAAAATCTTATTTGATTCCCACAACGTTTATTCCAAACTCATTAACTCAGATCAATCAAACGCTATTTCTTCCTTGACCAGTCTGACTTCTTTACACATTTTCTCGACCTTGCCTGGTCTGAATTGAAAAAGCCTTCCACCCAAGTCTCCATCACCAAACTCCAATCCCTTCTTGATCTTGTATTACGCAATCCGTCATCCGTTGCCTATACAGATCCCTTTAAGGAGGATGTAAAAGTCGAGATGAGTTCAGTTGGGTTGGTGGAACAACTGTTGAGAATTATCAACGTTGAGCCGACAGCAATGACAAGGGGAGCTCGTGCTGAAGACATGGGAGGAAGGAGAGGAGAGGAGAGCGATGGAGAGGGTTTAGACGAAGGGGGTGGAGAGAGGCAAACATACGCGCCTAGTGTTATTGGGAGTATAATAGGAAGCATTACGGGAACTTTGGTTGGAGGACATTCGACTGGTGGAGGAAAGCAGTTGACAGGTTGGTTGTGTGACAGAGGGTAAAGTAGAAGTCGGAATGTTGCAAAAAGCAAAATAGTGATAAAAGCGAAAGAAAACAGACGGAAAACTTAAGTATGATAATCATAGTGAACCAACGAAGACAGAAGATTAATCTTCTCTTATACTTTAGTCAGTTTATCTAATATTGCTTTTTTTTCTTTACATCAATTTATTATTACTAGGCATTGAAGCTTTGTCACTCGACTACGTTGTAACCTTTCCATTATCACTGGTTATCTCCCGCAAAGCGCTTACGAAATACCAACTTCTCTTCCGTCATCTTCTCTACCTCAAATACGTTGAGCAGCTACTTTGCAACATCTGGACTGAACATTTCAAGTCATTTCATTGGCGAGAGGAATCTGGACATCCTTCAATAACCTCTTGGAAGAATCGCATGTACGCATTGAGACAAAGAATGCTGGTATTTATTCAGCAATTTTCGTATTACGTTACGAATGAAGTACTAGAACGACAGTGGAGAATATTGCAGAGTAATTTAGCTAAGGTTTGTCCGGAGAAGAGTGGCTCGTTTATTTTAGGTGATTACGATTCTGACTTGCGTGGATTTAGTTGTCTACTGTTGATCAGGTGCTAGAGTATCATACGGATTTCCTCGATACGTGTCTCAAAGAGTGTATGCTTACGAATGCGAAGCTATTGAGGGTAAACATGTTTTCTGTCAGCTTACGATTTGTTGCGCGATAAATGACTAACATGCTACCACTCTTGTAACTAGATTTTTGCTAAGCTTACCCACACTTGTGTTTTGTTTGCGAACTATACTGACAAATTCAGAAAGTCTTTAATGGCGCTTAAATCACAAACAGACGGGAATAATAGTGGGGCCGTTTCTCTTGAACAGCAAGAGAAAACACTTCACAAGTTTGAAGATAATTTCTTGTACCATATCAAACTTTTGATTGAAGCATTGAACTTCTATTCAGCCACTGAAACGGTTCAGTTCTTGTGCCTTGTGGTCAGATTAGACTACAATCTTTATTACTACAACCAACCAAGTAAAAGATAACACAAAAAATGATTTCTGTAATAAAATTATGGGGTGCGGGATCTTTGGGGAAAAAATATCTATTGTCCAGGATTTTTCAAAAATCCAAGGTTTGTTATAGTATATTAATGCTCTGCATAACATGATAGTCAATAATAACAAGAGAGCTTAAAATTTAGTTTGATACCATTGCAACTCTTCAAAGGTGAAAAGACTGTTAAGAAATTGCATCTTCACACTTCCAAATACGAGGTTGTCTTTTTGTTATTACCCAATTTAATTATACAACGCTGTTAACTGTCTTTTAAATCAGCTACATTAAACTCTTCCCATGTGCCGTGCTATTGTGCTAGTAATTACACTAGCCTCGCGTTGATATTAAGTGATGCTTATCGCATTTCCAATCTGTTACTCAGTCCCTACCTTGTGTTAGTATTAGAGTATTTGACACTTTGAATGTCTTGGAATCTAAGTTACTCTGAAGAAATCTACTTGACTTACTAACATACAGTGTTGCTGTGTTACGAAAAAACCGGCCCCACGCAAACAACGACAAAAGATAAAAATAATTAAATGATTCTAGACTTATAAAGATTTTAAAAATGAAATTCTATCCCCAAAACAAGCTCACTTCTTTTTTTCATTGGTTAAATTAAATTATTCACTAATTGTCTCACCAGAATAACACTACATCAAGCTAACAACCACACTTCCTAGTCGCACAGTTTCTACTCACTGATAAAACCAATTGCCATTTCTTTTTCGTTATCATGAATATTAGTTATTATTAGAAACAATATGAGACCGAGGCAGATATTATTAGCCTGTCTTGACGCGTGAAAAGCTCGACGGTGTCGTTTGTGGTTGCTCAACCAAAGTTCCAAGGAAAGGTTTGCTGATTTGTGTAAAGTTTAGGCATTATTCAAAACCTGAGCAAGATTGTTTCTTAATGGCACTTGTAATATGGCGTGGATTGTATTTTTAATTTGGAGAAGCCCGCTGTGCTGTGCAATAGAGAAAAGTGTCGGTGTGTATGTATGTGCTTAAACTCCTTTATTAGTCAGGACAATAAACCGTATTGTTAGAGGACTTATTTGTGAGTTGTGGTGACTTGTCATACGTTTGTTGTATGTTTAACTTGCGAGGAGAAGCGATACACGTACAACAGTCTGAACAAGTAGACATGTGTTTAAATTTTTTTATCGATTATGCGTGTGTATGTGTTTGGACTCTTTTATCAGTTAGTTTCGAGCCGTCTTATGTGCGTAATATGGTGTGGCAACAGAGGATTGTTCAAATAACGTTATATTTACGCATGAAGAGGAAAGGGATAGATGCGCAATGCCTGGATATATATTATATGTATGAGCAAGCACGTGTTTGCAAGTGGTCGCGTGTTTAGATGACATTTGTATGATATTATCAATAACATACGTCGCGGCTGTAATAATGGTTTCCGTAAATGTCGTAGAATTTTTTCACTGGTTAACAAATTATAAAATTTTGTAATTGTCACGAGCTGGCGACCAGTAATTCATTATCGATAAGCCACGCGTAAGCCCCCGAAAACAATCATTTTCCCACATCCTTCTAAATGTTTCTACAACATCTGACTAAAATAAGCGCATGAACATTACGCGTGACTTATCGGCAATAAATCACTGGTCGCTAGCCCGTGACAATTACAAATTCATGGCTTGTAAACCAGTAAAAAAATTCTAAAGCATGTGTTACATTATACTTATACTATTGTTCTTGTTTACGGAAACAATCATGACTGGCGCGACATCATATTCTCACACCCCTTGCTGAGTACGTAACAGCTAACATATGTCATCTTCCGTCATCTAAACACGCAAGCACGCGAATACGCGTCTACTCATAAACATATATATACCATCCACCCCACCTTCTTCCTCCAAAAGTTTAATACACAATTCACAGTCGTCACTCTATATACTACGTACATACGGCACAAAACAAGTCATCATCAAACGACAAACTCTTAACCCTCAACAGCGACAACAAACGGTTTGTCGACTATTCGCTACTCATATACTGTTTTACACGTATTGCTTTACAACAAACCTCTCCTCCAAAGCAAAACCACACCGTTGTTAAATATGTATACAAAGAACCATTGCTGTCAGTATTTATTACACGCATACGACTGTTCGCTACAACTCACGCAAAGTCCTCTGACGATACGGTTTACTGATGAAAGAGTACTCTCTATTGCTTAAACAACAACGTCTCCTCCAAAGCGCAAACACGAAAAACAACCTTTTGCCGCTGCTTCATACGATACGACAATTTCTAAACCACCAAACAAGTCTTCTAACAGCGACACTGTTATCGGCTATCACACGATTACTCAGACCTTTGTACTTGTATCGTGTCACAACAATCTCTCTTCATCCAAAGCGCAACTACAACAATTCTATATGGCACTTCCTATTGCTGTATTGCGCACCCACGACAGTTTCCTACAACTCACACAAACAAGTCTTCTAGTAATACGGATTATCGGGTTCAGTCACACGTATACACCCAGGCACTTCTCGCTATTTGCGTCGCTTCATCAAACAAACAGCTACTTGCTGTCGCTCCGTATTACGTACATACGACTGCTATAACTCACGAACAAATCTAAAGATACGTTTATTCGATCACCAACCGATGAAGAGAGTTCGAACATCGTCTATCATTACTCCATATTACGCGAATGCACAGTTTACTATAACAAATTTTTAGTAAAAGGGTGCCAACTTTTAAATTAACATTAATTTTTTGGGTAGATAAAAAAATAACCGTATTAAGTAACTATTGCTCTTCAATTGGTTCACTAGGTGGCTGCTCTCCTTTGTCTCTTCCGGTGGACGGGTGCGGATCTGGATCAGGTTGTGGGTAGTTACCGGTGACGCCCCTCTGCTCACCCCTTCACCAGTGCTCACCTGCGGGGAAGAGATCCTGGCACGGGTCTGTTGAGTGGGTCACGGGGGATGCCCGGAACACTCTCAGACATCTCCTTTTTTTTTCTTTCTTTTTATATGCAGCTTTTAGATGACGGGGAGAAGGTTTTGGGTAAGTATTGGGTAAGTATCGCATTGTTTCGCGTTATAAACTAACTCTATTTTCTTTCCTTTTTCTTCTTCTCCCTTTTTACTTTCCCCTGGTGGGTATTGCTGGGAGATTGGATCCAATGGGACTCTGGTGGAGCTGTGGATCGAGTTTGAGGGACTGATTCGGTGGTTACTTAGCTGCTTGTGAAGGATCTGTCCTGAAGCTGGTTAGAGATGAATGGTGAGTCTGCTGCTTGGCATGCCGATTGAAAGCAATAATTATTCATTATTTATGCAATATACATTATAACTTAATACGAAATTTAATATTAAACTTAATAGCAATGATAGTAATAATAACAAAAATCATAATACGGAAAACAGAAATAAGAAAAAAAAAAGTTGAAAAGTATTATTATAGCTTTACAGACATAATCGCAATGTAATACCGATAATAAATGGACATGTAATTAAATTTAATTTGCACTTGACGTATTGAACTTAGTAGTCTTATTACTTTTGTGCAAAAAAAACGTCATGGTCAATTTCTTCTAAATGCACTCTCAGTGACGTGATGTGACGTCAGGCTGATACTTAATTATGGGTCTGGTTCATTTCACCGACAATCGTTTCGCCGACAATCATTTCACCGACAAATTTTCGCCAGCATTATTTTGAAATTATCCTTTTTTGGTAGTTTTTGTCGGTGATGATTGTTGGTGAAATGAATGCCTCCCAATTTTGTCATGAGGGAAATCTATGTCAAATGGTGGAATATTGGAGTCATAAGGTGTGATAGAGACACGATGCAAAACGCGGATATTTCTTGATAAAATCCAATCAAAGCATTACAATGGAAAGAGAAATATTAATGAAAACTAACGGGATAACATTTACGATATAATGTATCACGGGTACTAGATAGTTATGTGTAAACAATATTTCTTCGTCCGTTAGTATTTATTGTACCTGACGTTCGGTAATAGTAGTTGTCTTTGCCCGTATAATAACACGTAATGTTATTAATTTCCTTAAATATATATAATAATAAGCAGAATTAAGAGTAGCGATAGATTGATGTTGTAATTTTTATTTAATTATAATAATATAGAAAGGCCGATAGAGAATATATTCTATTGTAGTGTCTAAGATGTGTTCGAGACGTAAACCACTGCAAGTCTCGGCAATTATACTGTGTAACACGAATAATAGTTAGCGTAAAGTTATTCATCTAGAAAAAGAAAAATTATACTCTAAACAGCTATGTGAGAATAACTGGAATCGACACTTGAAGAGTATAATAAAGTTGGCTAAGGCATGGGACCACCGAATTTTGATTTGAGTTGAGAAAGTTTTTCACCAACCAGTCGCGTTTGCCTTATCACCAAGCGTCGACACTACAGAACCCTATTGCCGCGGTGAGGAAAGACTGTTTGATGATACAACAATTTTCTGGGGTCTTTGTTTTGAATAATCTGCATAAGAATCTAGAACTCGGATTATCAAAAATAATTTTTAGTTTTGCTGGAAAATAATCTCCATACTATAATAGTACAAGAATACTTTGCCATTTTTTACGTATTTTCCATTGTTTGCGTCTTTTCCTAGGAAATCGTGACTGTATACGTAACAGAGTATTGCGTCCAAAATTGGTTGGTCGCACGAAGTGTACATAATGGTTGGGTTTTAACGCTTGACGTTTAAACTGCCGTCTTTGTCGTAATGTGTTACCGTCTTATTGTTATAACAGTTTAATATTAACACAATTGCCTGATTCCGGACGCATGACTTTTAGGCAAATCTTTGTGTGTTCTCGCCGAGCCAATCGAATTTTGGAAATTGCAAATACAAATTTTGGTAATACATAGCGAAAAAGGATAATATTATCCAAACCCGTTGATGGATCGTCTCTACCCCTTCAATGACTCGATGCCTCATTTGGGGAAATTTACTTTTTAGGATATGTACATGATATACTGTACCAATGTACAAACTTTGCCTGATTGGTGAATATGGGGTTTTCTTACCAATATCTCATAACCTTTTTGTTGCACAGATAATGAGCACTATAAAGCCAACGATAAACTAATTTCCAAACGGATTGGCTCGATAGACTGGTGAGAGCTTGCTTTGTGTATTATGCATACAATTACTTGATTAAATTTTTGTGCGACTGGCATTCTCAAAACATTTTATCATGTCATTCATTAAACAAACGCTCACACGCAGTCTGTACGCCCCATACTGTCTAGGTTTGGAACATTTATCATTTGTATTATTAGTGTTTGGTAGTTGTTTACTATTAAATTATCAATTTTTGACAAGCTCTTTCATGAAGCGTTTGGATGTCAAAAGGTTCTGGCAAAAAAGCCAAAGGCTTACAAGATTGATCTATTGTTAGAGCTAGCATCGCAAGGTTGGTCTCGAGTGCGTACGGTAGTTAAGCGGAAATTTGAACAGTCTAAAGATGCTACGGAAGCTAGATACCTTATCAATTTGTTGGATAACGTCATTCTGCTGGTTTAGATTTTTATCCTGTCATATTTCGCATTGGAAATTGGCCAGCGTACAAGGAAGCGATGTTTCGCGTTTGGGCTATATTTTATCAGTATAATTGTAAACATTATAATAAGTTACCATTGGCTTTTCTAAGTGATGTGTTCTATTGGACTAGTACTAATCATCCTATTTCACAGACTCTTACAGATTCTCTCCACGTATTTAATGATTGTTATGTGGAAAACTTTCACAGCTCACTTCGCCGGTCGAACACAGTGGAACAAATTATTCGTCAGGCACGAATAATTGATCAGATGCGTGGCAACAATTCTTTCGCAGATGTCTTTTCTGAGAACCATAATATTATATATTCAGCGGAACAGCTTGAATATCTTGAAAAACGTGCTGCACTCTTTTTACTAAATCTCTTCACAGGTGTTTATCAGAATCTCAGTAGACCGAAAGTGATCTCGTCTAACGTACAAAGTTTGTGAACTACCAACGCTTGGGATTCAAGCTGATATTAAAACACTGTCAATGGCCTGGAATACATCGCATCCTCCGCACACGGATAGATACTGTGATTTTGAGGAATGTACTAATTCTCGTGAGGTAGGCTGCATTCTGTCTTGTGGACATGCTTATCATTATGAATGGTTTTTGTTGCAATTAGAAAGTCAATGCCGGTATTGTGCTGCATATCTCATGAGCGGTATTGAGAAAAACTGTAGAATTTTCCAACAAACTGTGAGTTCATTCAATGAGATGCTTATAGGTGAAAATACAGACGAATTGGCTGTGGAAGCTGATGACAGTAATACTGGCGATGAAGACTTTTCATTAGATGATGATAATAGAGACTTACTTTTTGTAAGGGCTCTGAATACTCTAACCAATGTATAAAAATAAACTGTTTATCATCGTCATATTATAATTAATTATAATATATTTATTACGTCAATAAAATTCGACCAATAATATTGCAGAATTTTCTGACCAATTCTTAGAGAAAGTTCGCTATGTACACTCGGCCATAATGCACACTTTGAGCGAAACAAGCTACGCTTATAAAATCTGTGCTGCTACAACGCTTGCCCCATAAGAAATAGAGAAACTTTTTTGATTTTAACCGACCTAACAGCCCTTGTTACACTAGAAAATACAATATTAAACGTCAAACAAATGATGCCAAGGAGGAATATGGAGATCCGATATCATACTCACTTGCATACTTGCGCGTCCACTCTCGAGCTGTAGCTTCATAGCGAGCTCTATCAGTCTTGTAAACGTGAGCAATCTCAGGTACAAGTGGATCATCTAGATGTGAAACAAGATTTGGTTAGACACAAATCTAAATAACGTCTTAACATATACAAAACTTCAAACGTACCCGGATTGGGATCGGTTAACATCGAACAAATAGACAGAAGGACTAAAAATAAATTAATGATTCAATTAACTAATATGATAAACGATGCGATTAATTTGATTACGATACAGTCATTCGCTTTTGGTAGAATCGCTGTTAATTCGATATCGACAATTAGGCGAATACGTACCTTTCGAAATAGTTAGCGCTGGTGACCACTGATCTCTCAAAATATCCAAGCATATACTACCATTACTGTTAATATTAGGATGGTAAATCCTTGTTGTAAAGTTTACCTTGTGACAGAATAGACATTGCAAATCAGTTTAATTACACTATAATTAACTAATCATGATAACTAAAAAAGTAAAAGTTCCTTCAATAATGAAAGTAATCTTACCTTTGGTGGTTTGAAGGGATAATCTGTGGGGAAATGAATAGCAAGGAAGAACACTCCTCCTGAGTATGGCGAATCAGACTGATTACAGAAACCAAGTCAAGGGTATGAGTAAATAATGACAAACATTAACCATTGGGATGGAGTTCGTCAAGATAACAAAAACATTCAACCAGAAATAGCAAAACAACGTACAGGCCCCATGATTGTGGCTTGCCAGTGGAAAAGATCGTCTCCGATAGGACCAGCGCTACAGGAAGCTGGTGGGTCACGACCTAAATCGTGCAATTCCTGATTTACAGAAAATGTATGAAAGTTTGCTCAGTATCCGTTGCAATAGAGAAGAGACCGAAAATCGTCTTGAAATTTTTTTTCTTATGATAAGGTGATACTCTGTTTTCAAGAACCTTACATTTATTACACTGGAGACAAAACCTCCCGCTCAATGAACATATCATTTAAAATACAGCATATAGCTACAGCACTAGTGCTTAACGGACTGTTTATCATAGGCCAGTGCCACAACACTACGAACTCTGTATGCAAGAAGTACGCCAAGAAACTAAAGATAACACTATTGTTTACTAAACAACAGAAAGCCTTCCATACATCACTTCAAGAACGTACAATCCAAGAGACTAACCACTCAAAGCCACCCTAACTAGGAAGTAGTCAACATCACAACAAAATGTACTTACTTTGTTGATCCTTTTGAGTGCCATAGAGTTGAGTATTTAGTGTTAAAATGTAATAAGACTGCTAAGAAGCTTTTTGGGTAGATGAGAAGTTGCTAGTAAAGGGGGTTGTAAGCGGTTAAAGGCGGGGGGTTGCGGAAAAGAATATCGTGGAAGATGACATTAGCAATCAAACAATCTTTATACTTGTTCGCAAACAGCGAATTGGAAACGAGTGGCCCGATTCGCGTGCCACTGTTACTAAATATGTCACTAGCACCTGACTCCGCAGTAGTAGGCAAAGTCTAAACTCCGGTGATCACCCCCGCGGGACGTTTTTATTTACCAAAAAAAAAATTTTTTTTCTTTTACTTTAATTACGTGATTTTTATTGTTTGATGGCATCTAAAGCCTTTGCAAAATTGTCCAGCAGAATGTCTTTATCTTCTAATCCTACGCTTACTCTAACTAATCCTTTCTCTACTCCATATTGCGCAGCCCAATCTAGTTCGACGTAATGTGCGAGGATGGTATAAGGACAGGCTAATGTGAAATTGGTCCCGAGTGATGGACCTTTGGCTGCTGGAAGTGCATCAAAAAATTGTTCCGATGCAAGATCAGTATGAAAGGTCAAAGAGAACAGACCACCATATCCGCCTTTTGCTTTTTTATATTGGAGATATATATCCGGTGTAATGTATTTTGGATAGTAGACTTTCTTCACTATTTTTGGTTAAAAATAAAAATTAGCTTAAAAAAGTGAAAACAAATAAAGCGTGCTTTTTTGTCTACTGACCCTTAGGATGATCATTAAGAAAATCGCATAAAGCCTCAGCATTCTCGTCTATCTTTGCGATGCGTTCCCTAAACGTTCTCGAATTACGCTCGAGGAATATTGCATCCTCTTCCCACAAATTATCCTCATATTCTGCTTTAATAACATCTTTTAATTTGTGATAATATTTGCGTTGAGGATTTAACACCATACTACGTAAAAAATTTGATTGCATTTGTTAATAAAACGTTCAAGGTCACTCTAATTCAAAAATACACAAATAAATACCTCCCGCCCATCACGTTACTGTCCCCGCTAAAGACCTTTGTCAGACTAGAGACCAAAATATCCGCCCATTCTAATACTGCCACGTTGATGAAATTGCCAAGTGTCTCGTCGATAACCATCAAAAAGTCATACTTGTCTGCCAATGCCCTTAAGCGTTTCAAGTCGGGTGATTTGCACAATGGGTTAGAAGGAAATTCACAGAACAATCCCAAAATCTTTTCACCGGCTTCGAGGATTTTTTCAAGTTCATCGATTTCTTCAGATGATCCGTTTCCAAAGAAAAAACACCCTGGTCCAAATTTCTGCAACACTTTCAAACTATCCGTGTATGTAAACCTATACATCATGGAACAAGAGAATCAGTATAAATGTATGAGGTTTCGACGGCAGAAGGTTACATCTAAAGGATTGATTTACACTCTGCAACATATTCCCATTTTACGTCCAACAAGGAGAATTAACCCCTTCTCACCCATTACAATTCTTACCCAAAACATACACTTTTCCTAGGCGGAAAAGCAGCCAAGAGATAATGATGTGCATGGAATATAGCATTCATTCCGCAAGAAAATAGATACACGTCATCCTCAGTCACATCACTGACTCCACGCTCAGCTGTCGAAGACGTTGCAAGATCGCTCGACACCATATGGTCCAAGTCATCAATCTCAGTCTTATCAGCAACTCCCATTGTGCCTGCTATACGTCTTTTTAGTACTACCTTTGCTTTATCAGCAAATGCTATGTGTAAATTGCGCCCATATCTCTCTTCTACGTAGCGGTTCTCCTCAAAGGTCGGTTGATTCAAACTCGCATGTCCTTCCAATGTTGACGATTGCTCGTATAGCTGTGAACTACAAAAGACTTTTGGATTGGAGTACCTGTTCTTAAATGATAGTCGTCTTGATAGAGCGCCACTACCATTTTCCAAGTATGATTGTCCATATTGTTGTGTTTGCATCAGCCAGAGAATGTATTCAGCCATACGTGAGGATATGCCTTCTCCAGAGTGCTGCCAGAATGATTTGGCGATTTTGAAAGCATCTTCCGGAAATAATACCACGTGAAGAGTTATTAATTTAGACAAGGTGGGCGAAACATCATCTTTCGGGGGAATAACTGATATCTCTGCTAAGCGTGGGCGCATTTGTGTGGCGGGCGCAGAGGGAATATAGTAGGAATTAAGAAATTCTTTACAGCGTTGAGCCGCTTTGCGAGTGGGGAAGAGGAGACATGTTTCCTCTGGTTTAGCAAATTTACGATTGCAGACTGATATAAGCTGGAGTAGAGTATGATTAATGTGTTAACTTTGAGATTCATTTTTTATTCTAGTCGCAAATAGTGGACCTGCATGTTGAACGAGTCAAGTTATGGTATATAGCACGAGTAAAAACGTTTACAACTGATAAAAGTTATACATAGTGAACCTCACGGCGACTTATTTTACGTCACGACTATGTATTAGAAAAAAAATTTTAACTTACTTTCTGAATTTCTTTATGTATAAAAAATCTGGGATATCCTGTCACCATGCGACTGAGGACTCTTTCCTTTCCCTCTTCGTAATCGACATTGTCCTGCCATTTTGGAAGAGCAACAGAGACTGCATGAGGAGTATTAGCAGGAATGGAACACCCTAATTCTGTGGACGACTCTATCATTCTCGCTCGGTTATCTATGGAGATGATCGATTTGCCAAACTATTTCTTCCTTTTGAGGAAAATATCAAAATTCAATCTTGTGGTAGGTCGTACACATCATGTGCTAAACTGTACATTAGCGGTCAGAATCTGATTTCAACTTCAATTTTTATTTGAGCAAATCAAAGAATTTACTAGAAAATAATTTATAAGCAAGCCCTTGTATTGTCTTACATCAAGATTAATTGACCAATCGAAATAAAATACGTTCGGATTTTACATTTGATGATATATTAACATCGCTACTATAATCAACGTAAATTAATCGATATCGCAACTAATTGACCCTATAATTCGAGCCATTGGGATACCAACCATCGGAGAGTCATGAATGGTTGAGATTTAGTGCATCAGAAGTTCTTGCGGCACAAGGTAAAGAGCAGAATTATCATGTTAGACTAGTCAAAGACTGTCCGAACGAACGAGTTAGCAAGCACCATTAATAAGAGCCACATGTTAGTATTGAAGGCTCTCTATGGAATGCATGAAGAGTATGACAATGCGGTAAATCGCTAACAGGACATTAAATCTCATGAGTGATTACTATTACGGTATCATAATCAAACCAAGCTGCGTCATAAATCATCAAGCTTTCTATTTCACATATGAGACCACGTGAGAGCTGGATCTGGCAAAAAGATCAGAGACCGCTGAACGATTACAGCTGTCCGATAACATTCAACCCTTTATCGAAGCTGTGCTCTTAGTATTGATGAAAACGTTGAAGTTGGGAAATTATTATGTATGCAAAAGACAAATACGCTTGTCTTTGATAGATGAATGAATACTGTTGCGGCTGTGGGCTAATGCTCGTGTTACCACTCCATTGAGGCTGAGCGGCTACGCGCTGCTTTTTGCATGAAAACGCATTATTTCGGTATGATTGGCGGCGGTAGTATCTGTCGACAAAGTTGAAATCAATAAAATTTTAGGCAGTAATAATTACTGAAATACCCAAAGAGAATACAGATAATTTGAAATATGCGAACTACTAACGAAACTGATGCTACGATTAATGTTCTATCACCCAACTTGCAGGTCAATCATTACTGCATTAGTAATAAGATATACGACGATCAAGAATCAGAGAGGATAGAATTATCTGCTAAATTGAAAGTCTAAGCTTTACATTGTTGAGAAATACCGAAGTGTTATTTCGGGAATTTCGTAAAAGCTAAGTAATCGATGGCAATCTTGGAACGTTTGGAAAAGTGGATATGTGGCTAAGTTTTTAGGATTCTCCATTGTTCTAGCGGTAATGTACATCATAGTCACTTTCCAGCACACCACTGAAATAGTTGGTGCTCTATTATATACATATATTGTTATATTATGCAATTAATTCCTGCGAATGGGGTAATTTCGTAAAAATGCAGCCATCAATCCCCGTGAAAAAATCTTTTTGAGAGAGACTTGGATGATACGTAATAAGTGAACTAATGGTAGAGCGATAATAATGGAAGAAATTCTGACATCAACAAACCTCGAAGAGTGGTGACGGTTGGGTACTACGCGTCACTATAAAATTGCTAAAGGCAATTACATAGCGCCTATGGTCTATTTTTTCTGCCTTGAGGCTAATAAACAAGGGTTTCTATTAGCAGTTCTTTTGACTTGAGTAGGAAGATAAGATAGATTATGATTATGGTTGCGATTATATGTAGGTCTGGTACATGCACTGGTACGGAAAACTCAACTTATTTTCGAGTCAACTTGAATCTTCTAAAAGATAATATTCTTGGGACCATGCAATGTGGATTTCATTAATCACTGTACTACTTGTGACATGTAAAATATTAAATTGATAAATTAAAATCAAGGAGCACTTATTGTCGTTTTTTTCACTTACTATTACAGTAAATTATCCTGCAATATTGAGGACAGTCAGATATTATTATTACATGTTTTGTTTGGTTAACTAGCATGGTGGATAAAAAAAACTTGTAATTGAGTAAAATGACAAAGCAATTGTGTGGGACTGCAACTATACAAATCAAGGAAATTTTTGCCGTTGCCTTTTGACATTTGTACATTCATTATCAATAAAACCAATTTTTATGTAAGGTCACTGATCAGAGAATTGCAAACAAAGAATTTAGACTTGATCTAGCATGGGATTTAATCAATAATACGGT